CAGGCAAGTGCTTATTCTACTGAGCCATCTCCCCGGGCCCTCTACTATGTACTTTGACTTAAAGAGCCACTTTGAAACCACAAATGGTGGCACGTATAATGGCACATGGCTATAAGCTGAGCACTTGGGATGCCAAGACAGGAGGATCTCCAGGAGCTTGAGATCACCCTGTACTACACAGTGAGTTCAAAACCAACCTAAATGGGGCCAGGGAAATGGCTCAGTAGAATAAGCGCTTGCCTGGCAAGTGCAGGGGCCTGAGTTCGATCCCTGGTTCCACACACACACACACAAAAAAAAAAACCAACCTAAAGTGCATAGTGAGACCTCATCTCAAAAAAAAAACCAAAACAAAGTCACTCTGACAAAAACTTAAGAAAAAAAAACAAAAAGTTAATAGCTGGGGTGGACTTTTAGGTCATTATAGAAAATTACAGTTTTAAGTTTCAACTAAGGAAACATTATTAACCAGGCATGGTGACAGGCATCTGCAATCCCAACACTAGGGAAGCTGTGGTAGGAGGATCACACCAAGCTCAACACCTCCATTTGATGTAAATGACCTATGTCATCAGTCATCTATCCCCTGCTGCCAAAAACTACAGCAAACATGACTTACCTAGCAGCTTGAGTAGCTTGTAGCTGGCTTTCCAGATTATTGCTGGTTATGCCTTTGACAATGTCATCTACAGTCCAATTCACAGTGCCCTAGAAGTAGAATTTTAAACTATCATCTTTAAGTGCAAGGACCTGAGTTCAACCCCCGGTTCCGAAAAAAAAAAAAAAAAAAAAAAAACACACACACACACACACACACAAAAAACAATCTTTAGATTAATCCAAAAGTACCATTAAGTTTACAGTTGGTTATCAAATGTTTAGTCTGAGCTGAGCATGATGGCACACGCCTATAAAGCAGACACTCGGGAGACTGAGGCAGACGATCCTTCTTAGTTTGAGACCAGCCTGGTCTAAAAAGTGAGCTCAATCAGCCTGAACTGTGTAGCAAGACCCTATCCCAAAAAAAAAAAAAAAAAAAAGTGTAGCCCTACATTTAATTTTGCTTACTAAGTATTTTATATATAAAACAGTTCTCAAATCTGATATAACTCACTGTGGTCTCAACAATTTTGCCACAAAAGGCAGCTCTGAACAATTTCAAGAATGATTTAGGGAGTTGGCAAGATAGCTCAGTGGACTAAGGACCCACTTAGGTAAGCTCAGGGACCTGGGTTCAAAGACCCCTCACTAAGCCCACTGCCATGGAGGCTGGGTGTGGTGGCACACGCCTATAATCTCAAAGCTGGAAAGGCTGAAAGCAAGAGAATCACAGTCCAAGGTGCATAGTGAGACCCTGTACCGGATACATTAAAAAAAAAAAAAAGAATAATGATTTAGGGCATGACAGGTTACTTCTACATTAGTCTCTACTGCTTGCATTCAGGTATGCTTTGGGGGAAAAATGAGTTACAGGAAACATATAGGCAAATTTCATATCCAAGTTTACAATCCCTGTATTTCCACAGTACAAACTACGTATACGTTGTATATTGCAAATCAGTTTGAAAACGAATGCTCTTGTTAACTCAAAAAGAATGTCCCTTTCTCATTAGGAGCTTACAACCTAACAGGAAAAATATAGTTAAGTACACAAACTATAAAATAAATGTACTTTGTGGGGAGATGGCTCACGAGAATAAGTGCTTGCCTGGCAAGCCCAAGGGCCTGAGTTCAATCCCCGGTCCAACCAAAAAAAAAAAAAAAAAAAAAAAAAAGTATTTTGTTATACAGTGCTTATTCTCAATTTTTTGGTGAGGAAATAGGTAACTTTGTAATCCTAGAAAGTGTATTTGAAGCATTATAAGAAGATGGGACTGAGTACATATACAAAGAAAGCAAAGAAGTGGGTCTGGAGATGGTGGGACAATACTCGCCTAGTAGTAAATGGGACACTTTGGGTTTGATTCCTGGCACTACAAAACAAAAGGCACACAGGGAGAATCCAGGGGTGGGGGTGGGGGGTGTGCTTAAAGCATAGTAATATAAAACAAAAATACAGGAAAAACCTGATTTTTTCTTTCTCTTTGAGGGGGGGTATTTTAGCGAAGGGTCTACTGGGTGTTCAGGGTCTCACTACTGGATCCGCCTGTTTACAGCCTCCCAAGACCTGGGACTACAGGTGCATGCCACCACGCCCCAGGGGCAGGGCTGGCAAACAGTGAAGAGATACACTTATAAACCAAAGTTAGGTCTAATTTATGGGAGGTCTTCAGGTTGCATGGATTTTGAGCAGAGAATATATTCAAGAAGTACAGTCACATATCACTTAATGCTGGAGATTGATTTTGTACTTAGTACAGGGTCTACAGGGCTTCACTACACAGATGCGGCTCGTAGTGATTCTGTTTTCTGCCTCCCAAGAGCTGGTTTACAGGCATGCACCACCACACCCAGTCTCAGTGCGCCCTGGGGATACGCCTAGGCCGGGGATTGAACCTGGCCTAAGCAGGTGCTTTAATCCACTGAGCTATCTGGCCAGATGAGCTATCTGGCCAGATGAGCTATCTGGCTGGCCCTTAGAGATACATTTAAAAGTATGGAGTTACGTAATTTTGTCATTGTCAGATAAACCTGTATAGGAGACTGTATAGCATACTTACACTATTTGATATAGTGTGTTCCTCCTGGCATATTACCCTATGCAACACGCTAGGATACTGTAGGCAATTCTAACATAATGTTAAATGTTATGCACTTAAGGATAGTGCTGCCCACACCCATGTTAAGTATTTGTGTACCTAAGCAGATGTGAATGTAGAAATGATAAAAAAATATAGGAGTGGTGGCATACAGCTGTGATCCCAACATTTAAGAGGATGACCAGGAGTATGAGACCAGCCTAGGCTATACAGTAAGGTCAAGACCAGTCTATACTGTAAGATCAAAAATACACAGAAGAGAAAAAAATATGGCGTATCTCTACAGTGTACTTGCTACGGAGCTTGGAGGACTGGAAATGGCTCTGAGTGTTAAATGAATGCCCAGGACATTATGCGCTACTGTGCACTTAAAAACACTACATATGGGGCTGGT